ACTGACCGGTAACGGGATCGCAACCCTCGGTGTCGCGCCCGTACTGGGGACCGGCAGCGGGCTCGCAACCCTCGGTGTCGCGCCCGTACTGGGGACCGGCAGCGGGCCCGCGTCCCTCGGTGTTCGGCCAGCGCCGCGCTCAGCCAGTGAGCGGGAACCGGTCTCCACATGGGATCCGAACCATTGGCGGGAGCGCTGCCACACCCCCAAGTGGCGCACTCTCCAGTGCGCCACCGGGCCGGCCCTATGTTTTTCTTTTTACAACAAATGGTTTTGTAATAAATCTTGTGTATTTAAAATAGTAAATTTTTGTCAAATTTCCAATATTTTTAAATAAAAATATTCAAAACATTTATGTCACAGTGTGACACAAATTAGGCGTTTTTGCATTTCCTTAGAATTCCGTTGATGTTGCCTTTATTCTGTTTACTAAACTGCTACATTTTATTCATCAGTAACTTTCATATATGCTTTTCTGCTTTTTTCTCCTATGCTTCTCTGCTTTTTTCCCCTTGCTCCTTTTGAAGGCAGGGGATAGTAAGGTAAGTGTTTCGTTAAAGACAATATTTTATTTAAAAATTTACCCTTTGTTCTAGTTTGATCTTTATAGTATTTTAAGGTATTGATTTTTTCTCCTAAACGTTCAATTATATTTGTCAAGAAAGAATTAGGAAATGAAATAGGACAAACTGTACAACTACCCCATATGTGGTTGTTATTATTAGGGTCTTCATTATGATAATTTGGTTTTATAAATGACTTCACAAATTACTACACTCTAGATAGTTTTAGTTTTTCCTTAAGTTTCAGAGACTCATAAAAACGAACTTAACCATACCTATTTATCAATGAAAGATTATTCAATTTATAAACCTGTTAGCTTGATTTGATACATGTTTAGTCCACTCATTTAAAAACATTAAAATAGAGTAATTTTGATGTTTGTATGTTTAATAAAATGACATGTCTAAGAAAAGACCCTTTGGGATACTTTTATAGCTACTTTTCATGAGATGAAAATGCCTTCAGAGAGTTTTCAAAACAGAACAATGTGGAAATGGCTAGTCTATTTTAGCACTAAAGAAAGGTACCACTAGGAAAATGCTGGAAGATAAAGATGAAAAAAGTCTATTTGAGACCAGATTGTGCACAAACTTGAAAATTAGGCTCCTCTTAATATATTTGGCAGACATCAGGAATCCATTATCTGTTTTAAGTGGGGTGATGTGTGCAAAGATATGAGTCCAGAGTGTGTTACGGCCTCTTAAAGGGTCCATGTTATCTTATACTAATTTAACAGGAATAAAGCATCTAGATTTAGCCTTATACATAGAGTACCTTATTGAGTACCAATCTTTGAGTTTTAAAGGGGACATTGACAGTTCGCAGTGGTTAGAAGAAAGCAGAGGATGAAGGAAGTTTGGAAGGCCACTTCATATGAAGAATAATTAATTGTTCTGGGAATCACTTATTTCAAAACAAGAAACTAAGTGGAGATATAATTACTGTCTTGGATATGAACAGCTTTTTACGTAGAAGTGACCTCCCTGTCATAGGCAGTGTTTGTGCAGAGTTTAGATGACCAAAGGGATGTTCTAGACGTGTGAAGGAGGTTCCTGGTTTCATTGGGAGGATGGATGAAATGACTTCTGTGATCTCCCCCAATTCTGTTTGGTCATTATGCTATTAAGGGAAAATTTTTTTAAAAGCTTATTTCCTTTACTAGCGAAACCCCAAATCCAGCATGGTCCCGAGTGACTCATTCTGCCTTCTTGGATTGGCTGACTGGGGAACCTTTGGTCAGAATGTCAGAACAGGGGAAGCTTAGGCTCTTGAGGCAATTTCCTTAAAAGCAGCTCTAGTCCTACCAGCCTTTTAAGTTGGTTAACATTTTACTGCCATAAGCTTAAATATTTTGTTTGAAATTCAGATTACACTGCAGAAAAATAAGAATGGCAAGCTTTAAAGTTTACAACATAGAACATGTTGAATTCTTACTTTTATTTTTTCACCTTCCTCTTCCTGGTTTCCCTGCCATTAATGGAGTAACTTAAGCCTTTTGTTACATGCAGTAATAAACTAAAAATAACAGGCCTTTAATATATATAGTATGGTTTATCTGCATTAAACTTGTAAAAATATTTTATTACAGGAAGTATTTTATTAGTGTTTCAAATTCAAATCTGTGTTGTAATCTTTTTTATCTGCTGCTGAAAAGAGGTTCAAGGTAATCCTCTCTTTGCTCTGCTTACAAAGTCTAATTTTGTATTTTTATCATCTTTCATATTTGCCATTAATGAGCTATGTTACTTGGTATTCTTTACCTCTGTTCAGTTTTCTACATTTTTTTCCTTTGGAATTAGTGTCCCTGGAATGAATATAGCATCTTAATTAATCAATTTACACTATATAAGTAATAGCTTTACTAAAACTTTATCTATTCAACTTGTATAATTTTACAAGTTGTATAATTTTATTTTAAGCAATAATATAGCTTATATAAATGATCTCTATAAAAATTTAAATGTTCTTAATTGTTACATTGGACTGTATAGATAAAAATTACCTGTTTATTATTTGGGTTACAATTAAAGCTGTCAGATAGTAACACTGAATAAAGTTCACCCACAAAATTGACTTGGAAGAAAAGCCAAAGCTTCTGTCATTCTTTGAAATGGTACTAGCAGAAATATTTTTAAATGTTAAATAATATAAATTCAGTCCTATTTTTTACTTATAGACATTTAAGAAAGTACATGATGAGATTTGAAACTAAAGTTTGGGTGATAATTTGAAAAGTTGTTTATATATTCTTGATATTTACTTTTTATGATGTTAATCAGTCATGCTTATATATTCTACATGCTGCTTCATATTACATATGAAAATCCACTTTTATTTTATATTGCATGTTCAAGATATAACACTTAATTTTTACAGATGTGTAACTTGACAGTTTGAAAATGCAAATATATTTTTATGCCTTTAATTTTATGATATTTTTCATAAATGTTGAAATTTTTTCACAGAAAAGTTAATTTATGTTATTTCCTGATTTAGTTGTTACATATTGAATATTAAGTTAAAATGGGGGGAGGGAGTTGATGAATGATTGACTTAGATATAATGTTCAGGTTACTAAATATGTGTATAATGATTATTTGAGATAAAAACAAACTACATGGTGGTTTTTTTGTTTTTGGTTTTTTTAAATTAAACAAAGCGTGTTACTAAAGAGCCTCCACGTTTAAATGATTCCATATGTGAACTCTGTACACCTGTTGGGACATGGGACATTTTGAATAGATCCTGAACAGAGAATAAGGAGATAGATTTGAGAGCTGCTGTGTAGGTAAAGTTGATAAATGTTTAGTAAAGAGAGAATAAGGGAATAGGAGTTGGAGACAACAGTAACAGTAATTATCTTTTACACAGTGTTCTATGCTTTACATTGCTTTGTGACTGTAAAGTGTCTTCCTTGAGTAATTGTCTGATGGTGACACCATTTACCAATACTAGAGACTTAAGGAAGTAGAGACGGCAAAGGGCATAGAAGAAAAGTAGTGAGTACAAATTTGAACTCAGATGTGATTTATGTTGCCAACAGTATAGAAAGTTGATAGAGATATCAAAATTCACCTTCAAGAAGAAAGTGTTGAGTACCTGCCGTGTTCAAGATTCTCTGTTAAATGCTTTATAGCAGTAATCCAGGCTTTGTTGATAACGTACCCATCAAGAAATTTTCGAGTTATACTAGACTTACATTTTTTTATTTGTTTATAAACAGTCTGCTCTTGTGCTGTTATACTATTTACATTATGAAACATACACCAAAGAAATTAAAAGTAAAATGTATAAAAGTTTTGATATTTTCTTTCTACCTTCCTGCTTTATAAGCCATCAAGATGTAGATGGCACAGTCTAGTGGAATGCAGCATGGGTTCATTTCTTGAAGGTGGGGCAGACACCTCTTTGGAGGGCAGGTGGAGGAGGCTCAGTGAAGGCACCGAGTGACGCGTGCCTTTCTTCTTTCCCACTTCTCTGTTTCAGGCCCCCAGTGAGTAGGGCCCCGCCACAGCCAGAGAAGCTTCAGACAAACAATGTCGGCAAGAAAAAGAGACCCATAGAGGTAAGGAAAACCCACTCTCTGATGTTATTAAAATGTATCCAGGGTTCCTTTTTATAAAACACCCAAGTCTTGTCATTAGTTTTTCATAAAAATAAGTGTATTGAATAATCTTTTTGGTTGGTTGTAACTCCGTCTGAATTTGGATTAATATCTTCTGTTTTCGTCTCAGGTTTTTTTTTTTATTGGTCTTTTACTTTTCCGTGAATGATACCCTGAATTGAATTGTATCTTAATGAACTTCTAAATATATGTGAATGATCTATTGCTTATAGAACCATAGACACTTTGGCAGTGTCTTATGCTTAGTGGTTTGAATTTATAAGTTGAAGATTAAATACTTATACCAAATCAGGAATTTTACCCTGTGTAATGTATTCACTATACAGGGTTCATGAAAACTGTTTGTCCTCTGTCTCTGCTTCTAACCAAAGGAAACTTCCTCAATAATTGAGGAAGAAGGAAGGTTCTCCCAAGCATTTCATCATCCCAGTATCAGCAGCAAACAAGCAAATTTTGTGAAATCAGGTGTAAACAAGATGTAAAGCTGTGGAAGGGTGATTGTTGTAGCTCCCTCCCTCATCCAGCCCCACAAGATCAATGACAATGGATACTTTCAGTAGCAGAATATCTGCCAGAACTTCATCATGAGTTGTCAGAGGTGGTGTATTGGGTTTTTGTCCACTGATGCTGACTGTACTGTTTGGATTCTCCATAGTACATGACTTGGACATAATTTATCTTGAGTTATGTTTGTATATCAGCTATTTTAATTAACAATAAACAAAAATTGATATATTCTTCTTTTGGACACAAGAGGTATGTCAATGTTTAACACGTGAAATCTTAAGAACTAAAATTCTTAGAATTGGGTGACCTTGTGATTCCCTTTTCTTTTTTATAACTTTATATAGAAAAGTATGCAGTGTGTATTTCACATGCCTAAACAGGTTACACAGAGAAGTATGTCTAGTGTAATTTTGTGTTTGCAGTTTGTAAAACATCAAAAATGCGTCCTCCATTTTGACAGAAAATGCTAGTACTATGTATACAACAAAACAATGGTGAACATTTATACATGAGGAAGAATATAACTATATAATGGTTTTATCATTATTGTTATAGGACCTTGTGTTGGAGCTTGTTTTTGGTTATCGAGGCAGAGACTGTAGGAATAATGTTCACTATTTAAATGATGGTGATGATATAATTTATCACACTGCATCCGTTGGAATTCTGCACAATGTTGCTACAGGTAGGGAACCCTGATCTCCACCTCCCCACACACACAGTTTTAAAAGTTTAGAATCTTTTATCTAGCCGCTTAAAATTCTTAGTGAAAACTATAAATAATAATTTAAATGCATGAGAAACAGTCCAATATATAAATATTTCATATTGCAGAACTTTCTAGTAATATTTCAAGTTCAATCTTAAGAGAGTATGGGCTGGCCAGTTTGCTCACTTCGTAGAGTGTGGTGTGGATATCACACTAAGGTCAAGGGTTCAGATCCCTGTACCAGCCAGCTGCCAAAAAAAAAAGGGAGAGAGAGAAAGTATAATGCAGCAGGAAAGGATTTCATAATGCAAGATACTCATAAGTCTGTATTAGAAGTAGAGGCTTAATATATGGTAAAACCATGTTTTATAGTGAAACCATTTGTAACTTTAATTGTATTTCCCCATAACCTCATTGTGAGAATGGATGGCTTGGATAGTTGTCTCTGATTGTTAAAGATTGAAAGTAGCATGTTGGGTGAGTAATTGCTGGGGTTGGGGTGGGGGTCTCATACTGAGACCTTGGAAAGCCAAGGAAAGAAGCTAAGAATGCTGCTTGTTTGTGGCTCTACTGATGATAACTTGTTTTATCCAAGAAGGTGAAAATTTTTTTTTTGATATTTATATAACTGAATGGATTGTTAAAGAACAAATAAAGTTCTGTTGGCACCATTTGATGACCAATGTGATAATCCTACTAGTGACATTTAGTATTTAATTTTTCATTCTGTTTTATTACATACAATTGTAAACTTCATAAAGTCCGAAAATAGGCAGTAAAAATAGAGGTTATCTAATCCAAACATTTCTGGCTTTTCCTCTGATAGCTTCACTCTGAATGGTAAAGAATGGATTGATTATGTGTGAGTCATAATCTTCCATCCCTGGTCAGTATTAATCATTAATATGATTTTTCTGTTTTGGTTTCCTAAAGAAAAGGATTAAGCAGGATTACCCAGAAATCAGTGGCAGTTTCCCATTTAATATTTTGGGCCATTTAAAAATTACTACAGGGTGCTTAGAGAGAAAATCCTTTTTAATTGAGGCTTCATATAACCTCAGAGAGAGTGGAGAAAAGTAAGATAAGATAAGCATGAAAGGAATGAATGTATAAATAAACTGTTATGTTTATATTTGTAATGTTATTTTTTAATTTTCTGATTTGTAATTAATCAGCTCTCTAATGGTAGGGTATCAAGAGAAAGAGCAGAGGGAGACCAAGCATGTGCTCCAATTCTGATTATTTGTTCTCTCACCAGTTTGGGGAGACATTTCTAGGTTCACAGTCTAAAAAGTCTAGATCTATTAGCTGATCTTCTAACAACTTAGCCAACAGTACATATAATTACTTGTTTGTTTAACTGAACTCTTAGCCCTGGAATATATGAAGTATATTTTACTTTGAAAAGAAGTTTTAAAGTAATAATAGGCCTGTTAAATGTAATTGTTGAAATTTTTTGTTTTTGTTCTGGTATTCATGGCCCTTTATAATGCAGATCCAACCTACTGTTCTGACCTCATTTCTCACCTCTTCATTGTATTTGCCCAAGCCTACCTTTATTACCTCTTGCATGGACTACTGCCATAGTCTTTTAAGGCCTCTTCACTGTCACTACTGCTAGATGAGCCACATTACTCCTTTCATCAAAAAAATTCAGTGCCTTCCCACTCACTACAGAATAAATATAAAATATGAATAAATGTGATGCAAATTATTAAATGGAAAATTACCACTAGTTTCCATGTGACTCTGATGGATCCTTTTCTTTAGGAAACCAAAACAGAAAGACCCTAGGCTGGCATTCAAAATCCTCTGTAGTTCTAGTCCAGACTTGCCTTTACAATAATATTACTCACTTCATAGCCCTACACTTCAGCCAAATGAGCCATTTATATGCATACCCAATACTTTCCTGCCTTTGTGCCATTGCTTAAAGTGTTCTTCTACCTAGAATGCCCTTTTCCACCCACCTTCACATCTACAAAATCTATTTGGATCAATCTAGAAGTGCCATATTCCCATAATGAGAATAATCTTTTCTGCTCTGAAGTCCCATAACATTTTGATCTTAACTCTCTTTTGGCACTTGGTATCTTTAGACTTGTATTATATATTCTATCCCTTTCAGTCATCTATCCCTTTAAAGACTTCTGATTCATTTTTCTGTCCTTGTGATGATGTGCACGTAGTGAGTACTCAAAAATACGTATTGAATAAGCAAATAAGTTAAAGAGTAGTTTCCTCTGGATAAGTGCATTAGGCTGTTAACACCTTAAAAGTTTTTAAACTTAATTTTCAAATTCTCTTTTTATAGGGACTCAGAGTTTTTATCAGGAACATAATGATGATATTCTGTGCCTTACTGTAAATCAGCACCCGAAATTTATCAACATAGTGGCAACTGGCCAAGTAGGTATGTTTCTATATTTTAAAAAGAAACAATTTGTAATTATTCTTTGTGTCCATACTAACAATACTGATTTGATCATCACATACTGTACTCAAATACTGATAGTCAACTCTGTACCCCATAAATATGTATAATCAATTATGTTTCAATTTTTAAAAAATAACAAAAAAGGAAAGAATTTGAAGCATTAATTTTATTCATTAAAGTCAATATACTAGGAAAAAATTAAAATACAATATATTTGTGGATTGTTCAAAATATGTGTATGTAAAGGATACACCCAATTATACCATATTATTTGCTTCCAGGTACCCTTCTCTCACTTTGGTTATCTGAGTTGGTTCAAACAATTCCGAATTTAAAATAAACTATTGTATGGTGGTTGAAATAGTTGGATTTAGTCTGTTTTACAAGAACTTATGATCAGCAAAAAGATTTAATTCAATAGCATATAAAACCGAAAGGAAGGATTTGAGAAGGAAATGGTAAATAAAGGGAGCCAAGAAATAAACTCTATTTGGTGGGACAGAACCCTGTTTCAGCAGGGGTTAGGCTCGAAAGAAGAGAACCCAAGTCTGTTTCATGTTGGTAAATCCCTTCTCCCGTTTTCTTTGTCATTGGTCTAATTTACCAAGTGTTTGGAAATACACCTGTCTTGTCATCTTCTTTCTCTCTAAAAAACTTAAAGACCATAACTGTAACAGGAAAATGATGAGAGGATAGCAGATCTATTTAGGATACATCTGCCAATCAGTGGTCACTAGGAATACTGCATAATAGATTTGGTCAGTCAGATCTGCAAAACTCTGGTATAGTTTGTAAAAAATTCTTGAAATCATTGGGCTTATTGGATTTCAGTGGGCCTCAATTGCTTATCTAGCTTTCCAGATGTCTTTATTTTCTTAAATAAGATAATTTATGCTTTTAAGATTTTCATTTTCAAGCAAGTACTAAATTGATCAGTCAGGAGCTTGTTCTCTGGGTTGCTTGGTTCTATGCCACATAGACCCTTGTAGTTTTCCTTTCTGTATAGTTCTCTGCTTTTAAAAGAAAATAGACCATTACTTTCTCATTATACACAAAATATTCTAATTTTTGTGTATAAATTCATAGTTCTAGCCCTGTTGTTGCTAAGCTTTTTTAAAGTGAAGTTTCATTTTCACTCTGCACGAGGAATGAGGTCCATCTCCTTGAGGAATGAGAGACCATTGAGGAAAGAGCACCTAACTCAGTACCTCTTGCCACATAGTTATTGCTCAGTTAATTTATAAAGTAAATTCACTTATTCAACAAACTTATTGAGCACCTGCCATTTCAAGGCATTGTTCTAGGTGCTGGGATACAGCAGCTTACAGAAAAGACAAAATCCCTGTATTAATGGAATTTATATTCTGTGAATAGAATTCTAGAAGGTATGGCTCTTACAGTTTCCAACTTTGCTCCTTTTTTTCTTTCTCCTCCTCTTCCTTTGTTAAGCAACTTTATTTATCACATTAGTGCTATAGTTTTCTCTTTTCGTTAAGAAATGTTGTGGTCAGAAATTTGTCTTTCAGGAATTTGGCTCTCTTCTCTAGTTCTTTCCTTTTATTTTGAAAGGCAACACTAAAGAGATATGGAATGGCTTATCATCTCCCCTCTCTCTCTTTCCAAGTCAAACTGTGGCCGGTACAGAAGTAAATTTTAGATCATACATACCCTATGCTTTGCTCCACTTGTACCCTTTCAGAAAATAGATAACAAAAATGCTTTACTGATGACTAAGTAAGGTAGACTCAAGGGAAGGCCAAAGAATGAGGAGAGACATTTTCTTTTCTGAGCATAAAGACAATCATATCAGTAGTAGTTACTTTGCTACTAAGTGTGTTTAATATCCACAAAGCACAAAACATTATTTTAAATGTTTATGGTTCTTTTTGTTAAAAATCATACAGATCATAGAGGAATTGAACTATTGGATTTTGTGGTGTTTTAGCCAGTTATATTCAAACTGTTCTTTTTTCTTGGCTAGAATCTTGGAATCTTGGGGCCAAACATATCATTTTATCCAGTCCATCATCTGCTTGAACCCTACCCACCCACCCCCACCACCACTTAATGCCTAATGAAGTAGTTGTGACCTCTCTCTTGGAAGCTCAGTTACAAAGTAGTTCTTCACATAGAACAGAAATCTGTCTCTGTCTGATTGCTACTCATTAATCCCCATTTTGGGGTTATCTAGAACATCTAATCACTTATTCCCATGACATTATCTTCCAATTTTGGAGACAACTATAATCTTTTCCCTAAGTCTTATCTAGTACTTCTCTTTTAGAAGACCCATTTTGGACATTCTCCAGCTGCATTCCATAGGCAAGGTGTACATGAGCACAATGGGATTTCTTTCCATGGAGGAGACTACCTCTCCTCTGGACCATGCTTTGGGTATCTGAAATCCTAGGATTCTCTACCAAATGGTCCTGAACCTGCTTCTGGGCCTGCATGAACCTCTTCTCTGAGTTCATACTCCTAGTGGCAGACTCCACAACCAGTGTGTGTACTTTTAAGGGATGGCCAAGAGGGTAGCTGTTCATTGAGTAGAGGTGGTTGGAGTTTTGATGTGCAAGCTGGGATAACTACAAAACTTAGTCAATTTGGGCTGCCATAACAAATACCATAGACTGGGTGGTTTAAACAACAATTTACTTCTCATAGTTCTGGAGGCCGAAAGTTTGAGATAAGGATGTCAGCATGGTCAAGTTGTCATGAGGACCCTCTCCCTGGTTTGCAATAGTTGTCCTCTCATTATATCCTCACATGTGGAAAAAGAGATTATCTTTCCCTTATCTCTTCTTATAAAGACACTGATTTAATTGTGAGAGCTCCCCATCATGTCCTACTTACCTCACAAAGGCCCCACCTCCTAATACCATTACATTGGGGATTAGGGTTTCAATATATGAATTTGGGGGGAGGACACAAACATTCAGTCCACACTTGAGCTTCCATGGCTCTTTGTGGTGTGGGATGGACCTGGGAGTGGGAAGAGAATGAAGACATGCTGCCCAGAACCCCAAGGAGTTCTAAATTTGTACCAGGTCTTCCAGGTTATTATAGGAGTATACTCATCAGGATAAGAGGATAGAACATATTTCATTTGATTATTTTTATCTTGTTTGACAACTTTAAAATATTTAGGCCTACAGTGTTTAGGCCTTCATTTGTACTCTTGTCCCAGACCCTGTAGATATTCAGGGACAAGCCTGATATCCAAACCAAACACTCCCAGTCTTTTCAGCAATTCTTCATGTGGCATAGTTTTAAGTCCTTTCACCATTTAGCTGTTATCAGAGCATGTTCACAACTAAAAATAGTGTTTCCTGTTTGGTCTGCTCAGCAGAATCAAGTCCTTCATCTTCTTTTCCCTCATATTCCAGGTTGAGACACTATGGGCCTATGTTATCAATATGTCCTTGAAATCAATACTTCATATATATATATATATATATATATATCTATATATATATATATATATATGGCTCTACCAAGGCAAAAAAAGAATCACCTATTTTCAATGGATTCCTAAACTTTTACTCCCTTCTTTCTTGCTAAAGACTGTCACTTTTAAAAGATTGGTCAATAGGTATTTCCATCACAGATATAACAGGCATAGGCTCTCATATTTTCTTTCTTGGCAAACTTTTACTCATATGGAAAATCTGTAGTTAAGAGAAAGAACTTTTTCTTTCTTGAGTTATACAGTAACCTTTGCTGTCATATCTCTCAGAAGGTTGGTTTATTTATTTATTTATTTATTTTTTATTCATCAAGAATATTCATGAGATACAAAGCTAATTGTCCCCTCCTCCTGCCCATGATGTGAGGGCCAGATTCATACTGGGGGCATACTCATTACCACAAATTGCAGTTGTACACTTTGTCCCATCCCAATTATCCTCCAACCTCCCTCCCCCTCCCCCCTCCACTCCTGTTTGTAGCCATAGAAACATTCCCTCCCTGTGTTAGACCACAGCCTTCCTGTGGTCTTTCTTTCCTGCCTTCCTTTCTCTCTTAGCTCCCACATATGAGTGAGCACATGCGGTATTTATCCCTCTGTGCTTTGCTTGTTTCACTCAACATAAGTTTCTCCAGGTTCATACATGTCGTTGCATATGGGAGTATTTCATTCTTTTTTATGGCAGAGTAGTATTCGATAGCGTATATATACCACAGTTTCCTTATCCAGTCATCTATTGATGGACATTTAGATTGGTTCCAACTCTTGGCTATTGTAAACAGAGCTGCAATAAACATGGGAGTGCAGGTATCTCTTTGACATGATTTCCATTCCTCTGGATATATACCCAAAAGAGGGATTGCTGGATCATATGGAAGGTCTATCTGTAGTTGTTTGAGAAACCTCTATGCTGTTTTCCAAATTGGTTGTACTAATTTACACTCCCACCAACAGTGTAGGAGCATTCCCTTCTCTCCACACTCTCGCCAGCTTTATTATTCACCGTCTTTTTGATTATAGCCAGTCTAACAGGAGTGAGGTCATATCTCAGTGTGGTTTAAATTTGCATTTCCCTGATGACTAGTGATGTTGAGCATTTTTTCATATATCTCTTGGCCATTTGTATGTGTTCCTTTGACATTTTGTCTGTTCAACTCCTTTGCCCATTTTTTACTTGGGTCATTTTTTTTTTTTTTTTTTTTTACTGTATAATTGCTTGAGTTCTATGTATATTCTGGATATTAGTCACCTGTCAGATGCATAGTTGGCAAAAATTTTCTCCCACTCTGTAGGTTGTCTTTTTACTCTGTTGATTGTTTCTTTTGCTGTGCAGAAACTTTTTAGTTTGATATAGTCCCATTTGTTTATTTTTTCTTTTGCTGCTTGTGCTTTCGGGCTCATGTTCACAAAGCCTGTGCCCTGACCTAACTGCTGAAGTGTTTCACCTATATTTTCCCTTAGTAATTTTACAGTTTCAGGTTTTTTTTTTCCTTTTTGT